ACAGTTGCCCGATACGACCACCTAATGCAAGCCACCTAGCCCTAACCCTAACCTTAACAAGCGAACATCTCTATAAGGACGCCCCACCTAACAGGTTGATGATGCCGTCGTTGTAACAAGCGAACAGCCGGATCAGATCTTTGAACAGCAGAACGAAGCAGGAGTTGATCACTCCGTTCGTCAGTTCGTTCGCCGAACATTCGAAGTCGAGAAGAGCGTCCACTTGGTTCTGTAGCACTGGCAGCGTCTTCAGCAGCTGTAACAACAGAAGGCGCCGCGGTCAGCGCGAGACAGAGGGCGCCGCGGTCAGCGCGAGACAGAGGGTGCCGCGGTAAGCGCGAGACAGAGGGCGCCGCGGTCATTGCGAGACAGAGGGCGCCGCGGCCAGCGCGAGACAGAGGGCGCCGCGGTCAGCGCGAGACAGAGGGCGCCGCGGTCAGCGCGAGACAGAGGGCGCCGCGGTCAGCACGAGACAGAAGGCGCCGCGGTCAGCGCGAGACAGAGGGCGCCGCGGTCAGTGCGAGACAGAGGGCGACGCGGTCAGTGCGAGACAGAGGGCGACGCGGTCAGTGCGAGACAGAGGGCGCCGCGGTCAGAGCGAGACAGAGGGCGCCGCGGTAAGCGCGAGACAGAGGGTGCCGCGGTCAGCGCGAGACAGAGGGCGATGCGGTCAGCGCGAGTTTAACAGCAGAGGGCGCTACAGTCAGGGTTCAAGATGTAGAACACTGCGATCGCTGCGTCCCCGCGGACTCGCAACCGGCAGTTAGATGCGATATGATATGACTACTAGGCACTTAAATTTAATTAAATTTTTTTTTTTTTTAGGGTTAGGGTTTAGGTTAGGTTTAGGGTTTAGGTTAGGTTAGGGTTAGGGTTTTTGTTTTGTTTTAAGTGCCTAGTAGTCATATCCTAAGTGCCTAGTAGTCATATCCTAAGTGCCTAGTAGTCATATCATATCGCATCTAACTGCCGTGTGCCGCGGACTCACTCACCTTGTCGGTACCCATTGTCCTAAGCATCCCGTCCTCCTTCCTGCAACACAAGAAAGAAACAGAGACGTCAACGCGAGGGAGAGAGAAGGTGACAATGTGTGAAGAGAGAGATTAGAGAGAGAGAGAGAGAGAGG